TTTTTTTTTTTTTTTTTTTTTTTTTTTTTACTGTGATTGTATTTTTTTTCTGTAAACTACAGAGTAATTTCATTTACGTTGTTCCTGGCAAAACGTAATTTTCTGGATTCTCCAGAGCCAGTTACCAGCCAGGGTACTCGCAGGAGATGCCTGGAGACGGCTTGTGTCAACGGGAGGAGTGGGGGGCAGGCGGAACTGCTCAGGCGCTGGGGGTCCTCGCCGTGTGGGGGGCCGAGGATGGCCGAGCAGCCTGGCCGGGCTCGTGGAGGTGACACACACACACAGACACGGTGGGGCAGGCTTGTCTGAACATTCGGGCATCCCCCCAACTTCCTTACCGTGGCCCGTAAAGCAGACACGTCCTCCCCTGTTCTCCCGTCCATTACACCTGCATCCTGCCTGCTCCCTGGGCTGCATGGGTGGGCGCATTGTCTTGTGTCTTCGTTTCTGGGCGGACACAAGGCTGAATAGGGCAAGGGGTGTGCTCTGAGCATCTGTTAAAAGAAGTGTGGTTTTGACACTACTGAGGAACGTGAAGCCTTCCCTCGGGATGATGGTGATGGATGCGAGTCGCCAAAAGAACCGCGTCTCAGCTGTTCCCCCAGGGCTGCTCCCACCCTGAGTCCCTGGCCCATCTGCCTAGGACACGGGGGCACTGGGCGCCAGGGTCGCAAAGAACAGGCAGCATCTGCCCTCCATGTCAGGGCTCCCCTGTCCAAGCTGAGGAGCAGGGAGGGGCCGAGGGAGTGGCCTGAGTTCTGACCCCAGCCCCATGAGCCTGGGCCAGTCCCCGGACCTCTGCCCAGGTGTGAGTGAGCACAGCGCCAGCCCCTGCCTTCCTGGGCTGTCCTGGGCGTGAGTGAGCAGGCGGGAGGGGGCGTCCGTCCCCGCCCCCTGCCCCGCACACAGCAAGCAGCGTGTACAGGAGTGTTCGCTTAAGACTGTCCTGCCAAATATAGATGCACAAGAAATAATCATGCTATTTCATTCAGGAAAACTTTCTTTGTATGATTTTTATGGGAATTTTCAAAACAATCTCGCCTTCTTAGGAGAGATCGCAAGTAAGAAATACCGTAGTGCTTTACGGGGCATAGGTAGGGCATTCGTCTTCCCTATAGTGTCGTGGATGTAAAAAAAAAAATCCACTAAGTGCCTTTTCAAAACCAAACTCATGCAAATGTTTGTTTAGAATGGCTCCCATGCTCTGTTTGTTACAGAACGGAGATATCTTTCTGTTGTTTTATTTTGTGTTTGTTAAATACCGTTTTATTCTGTCGGTCCTTAGCTACCATGGAAACCAGGCAGAAGGCTGCAGACAGAACCCTAGTTAAATGTTTTAAATATACATGCTTGCAGGCAAACAAAAAGTACCATTTTTCAAATGTATATTGAAAGGGAAGCAAAGGTAGAGAAATGAATGATCTGTATAGATTTTGGTGCCTCTTTTTTTTTTTTTTTTTTTTATGAAATCTAATTATCCTCAGTGAAAATCAGTACTGGGTTTGACATTTGGGAGAGTTGAGGAGTGGAAGGACACTATTTCCCTTATTGAAGCATGTTTAACCCAAAGCTATAAGGAAGCAATGAAAACAGGAAGGCTGGGGAATCAGAGACAGGGGAGAGGGTCGTAAACAACACTGACATTTGGGGAATGAATCTCGTCTACCCTTGTTCCAGCATAAGCAGTGTTAGTCTACAATGCAGACGTGGCATATCATTCCCCAAGTGTTTCATTTTGAGTACAGACCCATGAAATTCGTATCCCGGGGGCCCCAGGCCCTACATTGGTCGTGTTTCCGTGGCTGGGACGAGCCACCTCCTTCCCCAACATCGGGACCACCGAGAGGGTCAGGTGAGACTCTGTGAGTGGGTCTTGGTCACTCCGCATGTAAGAAGGTGCAGGAGCCGACAGGGCTGGACGCTGGACGCTGGTTGAAAGGAAAGGGGTCCCGGGTGGATGCCCCGGCAATGCTTCGTGAGGTGAGACACGCGGGCTGGTTGACCTTCGTGGCGAAAGAAAAGCAGCCCCGGCCTCATCAGGGCTCCATCCTGAGGGCCTCCCCTCCCTGCGTCTCGCGGGAAGCTCAGTGCAGGTGCAGGTCCCGGACCCCCGTCCCTCAGCTGCGCACCCACTGCCCAGAGAGGGGCTGGACGCACTGCTCCTGGGCACATGGCCCAGTCTGGAGACCAGAGAGCAGGGAAGACCAGGGAAGTTAAAAAACACAATTCCCTCCCACCTGCCCATTCCCTGCCTCCGCATTCAGGGTCCACGGCGCTGCACTGCCAGTCAGGGAAAGAAGATCACACAGGGCACCTTCCCAAGAAGGCACTGCCCTGGGTAATGAAAGCCCATGATTCCATCGGGGGGAGGGCCGGAAAGCTGACCCCAAGCCCCTTGATCAAGAAGTGTCCTCGTGGACACTGGCGGTCAGCTCGCCTGGTTGGCACATCCCACGGGGAACTAACTTGAAAATGTCCCCATAAATTTAGCTTTTGTTGAATCGGGTGGACTTGTGTTCACGCTATTTTCTCAAAAGTCGGGGGAGTTTACGGTGCTGAGGCAGGGTGGCACGGGACCCAACGGCTGCGTGGGAGGGCCCATGGGGGGCCAGGCTGTCATCTGTGACCCCATCTTCGAAAGTCAGGGCTGCCAGGCGCTCCTTAGAAACGCACCGGGATCTGGGAATTTTGAAGCCGTTTTCATATCCACGTCACCTCTTGAGGGCAGTGGCTTCTGCTGGGCCATCTTCTCTGGAGTACAGTGGAGCTCGTCGCACTTTGCAGAAGCGGCCGGGCGTCCATGGGGTTCCGTGTATGGGGTGAGGATAGGGGTGTGTCCAGGGCTCGGGCCAGAGGGGTGGCTTTGGTGGTGGTGAGTGCAGGGCGCACGCGCAGGACCCTGCTTTTGCTCCCGGCTCTGCAGAAGTGGCAGTTGGGTTTTTGGACTTTTTGTATCTTGTTCAGACTTTGCCCCAACTGCGCCGTGGGTGCAGTTCTTTTCAGTCCCTTATAGTCTCTTTGTATCTGTTGCTCAAGGAGACGTCTGTCCAGGTGCAAGCCCTGCAGCAGAGGGCCCCGGGTCCCAGGTCCCTGCCTGTCTCGCAGTGGGACCCGTCACCTACACTTCCGTCACCAGGAGAGGTGAGCAGTACATACCGCTTATTCGCTGCTAAGCAGCTGTCACCCTCCCCAAACCATGATGGCTGGGAAGGGACTTGCTGCCTTGAAGACAGAGTCTGCATTGTTTATATTCCCTGCTCAGTGCCGCTTCTGAGGGTTTCATGAGTCACCTATTTGCTTATACTTGGCTCTTCATAAGTCTGTGTTCCTACCAGGCAAGTGGTTGGGTGATAGAAAAAGATGACAAATTATAACTTTCTGCATGTAGATTGGAGGAGGTGCATATGACTGTCGTCCTCCCCTGACACTTTCCTCTCTCTCTCTTTTTTTTTTCCTTTTTGAAAAAAAGAAAAAAAAAAGAGGCGATAATTTAAAACCTGCCCCAGGTCAGTTTTACATTATTCATCTTTCACTTGTGAATGTGACGGAAAGGAAGTGACCCAGCTTCTTTCTAATGTCGGGGAGTCCCTGAAGACCTCACCTAGAAGCCACACTTGATTACTCTCATAATCAGACACACAGAGCGACCCTCCTTACAAGGAGAGCAGGCCCGAGCGGGCACAGGGCTGCTGGGAGCTTAAGAAAATAAGATAATGTGCCCAGTGAGGAGCTAAAAAACAAAAGCCACCTCGGGAAGGCGGGTGTGCAGGTCACTGCTGGGCTCCAGGTTTGGGCTGGTGCCAGGAGAAGGTGGAAAATGATGACTTTGCGGGAGGATGGCAGCCGTGCAGCTTGCCTGTGAATCTGGGGCCTCGGCCTTCATGTGAGAATGGAAGACGGTCCTTGTCTCCATTCCTCCCCTTTTCTCTTGAGTTCACTGAACTGTGTTCCTGAGCATGGGGGCTTTGTCACTTTGTCCCTGGAGAGGGGATGCCTATGCCTGAGACTGGTCCTG